TGTTGTTGTTGTTGTTGTTGTTGTTCTTGATGAAGATGTACCCATCTTCATCAAAATTTGTAATCTAAATTTTTAAATAGACAGTACATTAAGGCCTGGAAGGTGTGAAATAATTATGGTGTTTTGTTGTTGTTTTTACACTGTTGTGTATGGAGTGTATATTTTTAGATGTTCATTATATGTGTTTTTATTGTTTGTTTAGATAGCTGCTATTATGCACTGCACACCCATGACCATGGGTCCTATGGGACTATAAATTCTATTCTATTCTATTCTATTCTATTCTATTCTATTCTATTCTATTCTATTCTGTTCTATTCTTGTGCACACGTGTTCCCTGTGGTGTGCAGGCTCTGGGGTTGCTGCTGCGCTGCACTGCAGTGAGGGGGTGAGGGCTGGGGTCTTATGTAAGATTTCCCCTCACAAATCAGAGCTGCTTTCTGCTCCACGCTCCTCTTCCTGGTCTCATCCTGTCACTGTCAGCCCTCAGCCCACAGCTTTATATCTGTGCTGACAGCAGAGTATTCCCAAAATGTCACAGTCTTTTCTCTACATTATGTCTTACAGAATAAAGATAAACGCTCTCATCAAGAATACTGATGGTAAAAATCTGTGAGYACAAATTTTGTACATTTTCTTTGCTAAGACATCCACACACTTATAATCACATGGTCCAAATATGTTTTTGCGTGTGCTTTGAAGCTTTGCACATCAGTATGAAAAGTTCGTGCAGATCATTCAACAATGACCAGCATCCAACAGTCAAATAGCATACGGCTAATCTCAGTTCTACTGTTGCTACTGCACTTATCTCTTCCTGTTTGTCATCTTTGATCCCATTCAACGACAAACACTCACACAGGAATTGTGTCACAGCTGTGTCTGTGTGTTTATTAGCTGGGTGGATCTTACCTCGTAATGCTCTCTGGACTGGACAGACTTAAGCGAACTGATCCAGTCCTCCATCTCTTTCCTGTTCTCAGCACACAGGATGAGCTTACGGAARGGAGTGATGACCTGGAAGGAGAGGCAGAGGCATGCTGAGGAAGTGATGATGGAGAATCACCTCTCCATGGCTAGCCTCCAGCTCAGCTGGGATCCCAGACAGCGGTCGGCTCTTTAAGGCAGRGAAAGGATGAGAAGCCCCCACCTTCCTCTCCTCCCCTCCTTTGTCTCTAACTCATATTTACTCTTGCTCACTCACACCTTCAGTTGGTTGTTTCCTTCGCTTCAGCTCTTCTTTCAYTGTTTTCCCTTTAGTYTTTMTGTCCCTTCTTCATGCTGCTTTGAGACAGAAGAGAAAAAAGGGACGTTTTTTCCTCCTTTGTGTTTGTGTGTGGTTAAAAGACAGCTCCTTTAGATAACCCTACAGACATGCAGCCTCCTTTCAACACCCCATCACTTATTTATGCTCCCTCATCTCTTCTTTCCAACGTGTATTACCCCTGTTCACCATAGTGAAAGCAGTGAGGCTGAACAGAGGCACTAACCAAACAAAGGCAAAGAAATTATAAACACCATCAGAGATTCAGAACAAACTTAAATACCATACAGTGCATGCCACTGGTATATTTGTGTGACAAAAAGTTAATTATAGGATGATAAAACATGTTTCTGTTTCCTTGCTTGTGCAGCAACATATCCAGATTAGTTCTGCATCATTTACATTCTGACTGAAGTAACAGTAAAACAAGRAAAAACAGCAGTTTGTGAARGATTTCAAGCAGCTGGTACACACTGAATATGCCACTCAGATCTAGAGGCAATAACAATGTACAGTATTTCCTTGTTTACTGACTATATTGCTGATAAGTAAGTAAGGTTGTTTCAAAGCAAATGTTGACTGTTAGTGTGTCCAGGTCAGACAGTGCATTTATTACAATAAAATCCATAATTTAGCCTCTAGAAGCTTATTAATTATCATTAAAAGTGTCATGTGTCATATATACACACTATATATAC